CCCCTCGGGACGAAAACCGCGTAACACCTTTGCTGTATGCGTGAAATGTCCGCCGCGGCCGTAAGGAATATTTTTGTTTGAAATATATGTAACTTATTATTCGCATAAATAATTCCGCCATGAAATAAAACAGGAGCCCACAAAAAGGGGTTCCTAAGAAGGTTGTCACTTGCAATATTTGTCTTTTTTCTTTTTACTTCTAAAATTAAAATATTCGGCATCTTTTATATTTATATTAGAGCTAAACTTCACAACTTTATTATTACAAACCGAAATTTTATATATCAGAAAGTTTATAAGTTCCTAACATTTGGCAAAACCATATAAAAGACGCTTTATAAATATTTAAAATTTGGCTTCAAAAGAGTGAGGCTTATTATGTTTATATAGAACAGTTTTATTATCAATAGAGTAGACTGAAGGTTTAAGTAATTTATATCGAGCAATTGAATGTTCAAGTCATGTACAATCTAAGCAAACTTCTTGTTAAACTCTGATGGTTGATGATTTGTTTTTTAAAAAAAAAAGGAAAACAAAAAAGGCATCTAATGTGGACAAAAAATTTGACGGTTGGGGGAGTATAAACTTGCTCTTTTGTGCACATGCACCTTATAAAAATGACTATAATGAGTAGTATAGTATAATTGGTTTCAGCCTGTGGCCAAAAGAATTGGCTATATAACACAAACGATATATGTTTTCTTTTAATCTTTTCATTTAACTCTGGATTTTTTTAATTTTATTTTTGGCATTTGAATCTATGTACTTAGCATTTTGTCAATACAATTGATAGAATTTTCCTCAATACATATTGGTTACCCTTCCTTTAATACTTTTCATTGTTTGACCAAATAGCCTGGTCCAATATAGCATGGTAATGAATGTCACGGACTTTTAAGGATTTTGTTTAACACTACATTTTTTATTTTATTTTTTGTAAAAAAAAAAAAAGCAACTTGCGTCATTTGTTTGTGTAGATCAATCCTATCTATTGAATGTTTTTTCTTTTTAATATGGTAAGGTATTAAAAAAGGGTGAATGAGAAATGGAGAGAAATGAAAATTTTGAGTAAATTTTTTTTCCAAATGCACTTCATGCAGCTCTTAAAGAGTTAAGAAGGCAAGCCTCGCGCCGCCGCCGTCGTCGCTCGCTCGGCTCGGCTTCGGCTTCAGCTTCAGATTTGGTCAAATAATCAATTGATTGATTAATTTTTTGGACCAAATTTATTTGTTAATAGTGAATATTAACGTAATATTATCCGTGTTTGTAACAGATGTTTTCCAATCCGTGAATATTAATGAGCAAGTGCTTATTCCACCATGTTGAGTGCTTCCTCCATTAATTAAAAGCCTTAGTGCTCCAGCCACCATGAGAAAATGCTTCACCAAATGAGTGTGTTTACCAGCTGATTACACTATAAAAGAAAGGTGTCAGCAGCTTGTTGAAAAACAGAAAAAACGGACAGAAAACAGAAAGCAACGAGCAATCTAATTTCCTCTTCTGTTATCGCTCAACATTGGCTATAAATTGCATTCCTTCCTCTCAGAATTTCCATTCGACTTCTGAGTTCTCCTCCTTTCTTGTGCATTGCTTTAAACTATAAACAAAGCAACCGTAAGTGTGATTTGCTGCCGAACTTTGTGTTCGCTGAAACACTGGGGTTTGAAGTACTGCTACACCAGTGTGTAATTCGTTCTATCCTGGGAGGAAATAATCCATAACCTTGGGTACTATGAGGGGATTAAATTCCTTAAAGAAACACTGTGAATTCAGTGGGCTCGAATTAATTACTGTTTCATTTATATTTACGTTTATAGGCTAACGTTCTTTTCTCCAGAATTATTATTTACAAATACAGATCAAATAAAAATTAACAAGCTTATAAAAATATTAACATTGAATATTTCAACTTTTACCTGCTTCACCTAACAAATGAACGTCGTAATAATAATAATAATAATAATAATAATAATAATAATAATAATAATATTTTAAGTTATTTTTTTCACCAAAAAAACATTTTACTTCAATTAAAAGCGTAGGGGCTACGAATAGAGAAGTGCTAGCATGGACACAATAATTTAATTTTAGAAGGAAAATTATTTCTTAGATATTTCACAAACGTTACTCCGAACCCTGCGCCGACAATTTTTTGGGGACAAAATTCATGAATTACCTGTATGCGGAATAGTTTTCATGCTGGAAATTTGAACATATTTCAACCAGTGTTTTAAAAGGCGTTTTCGGGGTGAGGCGCACCAAAAATACCCCAAGGCGATAATGTGGGGCGAAAGTCTCAAGAAGCGTACTCCCAGCAATTTGGGGCGGACGCCCGGACATTTGGAGCATACACCTGGGCGTTTGGAGAATATGCTTGGGCGTTTGAGGCGCATTTTTGTAGCGAGGCGTAAGCCCAAAGACTTTTTCAAATTAAAACAAAATTTATTGAATAAGTCCTTCATATAATATTCAAATTCTCAAAAAGTCAACTTGTAATTAATCAAAAGTTTTAAAAAGGAACTGAAATGTATTAAATTTAAAAGTCAAGACCTTTTTTATTGATTGAAGCCCCAATTTATGGCCTTTTTCAATTCTTTATCTTATCCGCTAGTCTGCTAATATATCTCAAAAGCAACGAATATTCAATTTTTCTTACAAATACAAAAGGAACTCTATTCTCCTTCATACCAGCAAGTTCAAAGTTCAAATTGCAGGTTAGTCATGTTTTTTGTTCATCCATGTAGAAAACTTTATTCTTTTCGACTCAAGTTACTTGTGCTTGTAAGTAGNTATACACACACACACACACATATATATATATATATACTGTGATTATATTATTTTATAAAATATTAAAAATTAAATATTCATGGGGCTTACGTCCCGTGCCTCGGAGCTTACGCTCCGTTGAGGCATACGTAAAACGTTTCGCCTTACACACTTACGCCCACGCTTACGCTTTTAAAACACTGATTTCAACAGATATTGCCCAACTGTAAAACAAAAGACTGTTTTCTTTAATTGAACTCTAAAACTGGTTTATAAAGTAAGTATAACAAATATTTAATTAGTTATTTGTAGTTTATGGAAAACGGAATATTGAATCTATAAAAAACTGGAGCCTCTCAAATTAATAAGCGTTTTGTGACAGAATACAATAATAATTGAAACAGAATGTAAAAAATATCGTAACAAAACTTATACGTATTTAGCATGTTTGTCCAAACACACACAAAAAAAATACTTTTAGTTAGAAGTAGTCTGTATTTAACTAATTAATTTTAAAAAAAATTAAGCAGCAATTTAAAAAATATTTCTAAGTGTATTTTTAGAAGTACTTTTGAAAAAAACTATTTTTTTTAGTTTTTCAAAAACAATTTCTAATTCTATTCAAAAATACTTTTTTTTCTCTTACAAATTTAATCAAATACCTTAATTTATAAAATAAAAAATACTTTTAACTTTGAAGAAGCTTGACGCTCACAAGTAGTTGCCAAAAACTTCATGACCACCCAAAAGAAAAAGGAAAAATAATGCTGTAACTTTACGCTAGGCATTTAGGGGGAAGAAAGTTATATACTCCATAATTTTATGAGGTCATGTTTAATATGACACCGTTTTTAAGGAGTTTAAAAAAACTGTTACATAATGTATATTTATATTAATACAGTTAGACCTCTCTATAACAACATTCTTATATAATAGAACTTTACTATAAAAGTCAAGGTTTTTCGGAACCGAATATCATGTTCTGTTACAATATATATTCTCTATAAATATTCAAAACAAACGGGCTGATATAGATCAAAGTATCTTATATCGGGTGGATTTCTATATTGTTTGACTCAAAGATATTGGAACCTTTTTGAACAAATCAATTAAATAAAATGAAGGAGTAAATCTTAGTTAAACATAATAAATTCCAGATCGATGAGCTAATTGAAAAAATAGTATCTGAGATGAAATAGAGGTAATCAATCTTATTGAAATTCTTCATTGTGGCTCCCATTAATCAATGGGGAGGTTGTTTTACATATTTTTCTGGAGATTACTTCGTTCTTTTTTTCATTATGAAGATTACAAAAGAGAGAACTAAGGAAGAAGGATGAAGTGGAGAAAAACCTCCATTGTCCGAAGGTTTTCCCCTATTATATATAGTCATGGGACCTTTGCTATTTACTTGGTCCGACGCTCTCTCACACTATGTCTGC